GCTAAACCCACTAAGTCTGTTGGAAATAGATACTGTAAAGGACAAAACACATGCCTTCTTTGAGCTTGGTCTGGAAGACATTCAGTAAGCAAACTAATTAACAGTAAACAAATAGCTGTAGACTGGGGCAGAGCACTGATTAAGAATAGCAGGGGCGGTGGCGGTGGGGCTCCTTTCCAATAGAGACTGAAGGAAAATCTTTTAAGTTAAGAAAAGCCTGGGGAACGAAGGAACCAGTGCAGGGATCAGGTGGGGAAGAATCTGACCCGGCTCACCACCTGCCCAGAATTTTGTGACTAAGCTTAGTAAAGTTTGGACAGGTAGCCAGGACCTTGTAGACCTTGGTGATAGGTTTGAAAATTTAAGAGTTATGTTTTGAACATGTGAAATGTAATATGTTGGAGAGATAGTAAGTGAATGGCCTCAGTATCATTTGCATACGAGCTGGGCACTCAGTCATACTGGCCAGTCAAGTAAGTGGAGTAAGGACTGCGTTTGGACACCGTTAACATTATAGACCATATTTAAAGCCATACAAGAGAAATTTGCCAGGAAGGCAGTGTGGAGAAAACTCTGAGGACCAAACTCTAGAAGCTGGGAAAACCCAGAGGAACCAAGAACTTCAAGGTGGGGGGCTGTCACTTGCTTCAAAGAAACTCAAACTCAAAGAGGCTTGAAAAGTGTCGCTGGATCGGGCAACAGGGAAACTTCAGAGGGTTGTCACCAAAGGCTGAATTTGTGCAGGGACTGGTCAGGCCAACGGGGACTGGAAAATGAGAGGGAGGCGTGGCAGTCGGGGAGAAAGTGTTTTGTTTGACTCAGCACTGATCTGCTGATTGAATGGATACATTATGTCTGAGGCAAAGAGAGACACCAGGGAAAGAAAACTCAGTCGTCATTCCCACCCGTTTCCCTTTACATAATCCAAGTCCTTCCGTTGCTGCTTCCTAGTTTTGCTTTCTTTTTCCACAATTCCAGTTCTCTTTCTACCTTCAAACAGTCCCAAGTCGACTTGATTCTACCTCTAAAATGTCTCTGACCTTCTTATTTGTATTTTCATTTAAAAAAAAGATTGTTTGAGCTCAGCTGAGAAGTGTGCTGTTCATTCTCTTAAGCTTTATTTTCATCACCCCTTTTCCATTTCACTCCTGAGCATGATCATCTCACCTTTATTTGTTTAACAATGAAAAAACTCTTGTCAAGATTATCAGTAACTTTATTTTTCTGCACAAACACACTCATTTATTAACGAAAGGGATGATCCTAATTGAATTGACACTGAAATGGTTGTATGTACAATGTTGGTGAGAGAAGTAATTGAATGCAGTAATGGGGAGAGGGGACGGGGAGCAGAATAGAGATTTGCTTATTGAACCGAGGTTGTTCATTCTCACAGCTAATGCCTGCCCAAGTGGTGATGAAATTTTTATTCTATTTTCCTGGGACCAAGAACAGATGCCATTGTTCATAACACATCCCACCACAGTTTTCCATCTTCCAGTTTTCTTGTTACTGTGCTCACTGTCCCATCCCACTCTCCGGGTTGGACCAAAGCATCATCTGAAAAGTTGGGGACAGTCTGGGTTTCTCTGCCAACGCTGTGGTTTCTTCAAGCTTTTCTCCCAGGTGTCAAGAAAGTGGGTTGTTTGCAAAGTGCTAGACTTCTTTGGTGGTCTCACCAAATCTCATGGTTTTAAACATGTTCTACATTGCTCTGGTGGCGTTATGGGTTAGGTATTGAGCTGACAATCACAAGGTAGGCAGTTCGAACTCACGGTCTACTCTGTGGGAGAAAAATGAGGCTGTCTTCTGTCAAAATTTTAAAGTCTTGGAAACCCTATCTGGTCCCAATGAGTTGGAATTGCCTTGATGGCAGTGGCTTTAGTATTTGGTTATACGCTGATGGAGGCTGAGTGAAGCATGCAGCAGCTAATGAATAGTTAGCAGTTCAAATCCTCCTTGCCCTCCCTGGGTAGAAAGATGTAGCAGTCTGCTTCTGTAAAGATTACAACTTTGGAAATCCCAGGGAGCAGTTCTGCTCTGTCCTGTGAGTCAGTGTTTGGTTTTAGATACTGATGGTTTCCAGGGCCTTACATCTAGCCTGGAGCTTTCCCCTGAGCTCTAGGTTCAGATAACAAACTGTTTGTCCCAGTTGGATGACCAATGAGCATCTGCAGTTAAAGAGCCACCACCGTGTTGATTCCCACTCATAGCAAGCCTACATAGGTTTTCAAGACAAAATCTTTATTGGATCCGGTAGCCTCATTTTTCTCCTGTGGAGCAGTTCATGGGTTTGAACCACTGACCTTTTGGTTAACAGCCCATTGAGTCCTGCTCCTCCTTCCTTCCTTTCCCGGAGTATGGTTCTGTAGTGTTCTTCTTCAGTTTATGGCACCTCTCTTTTACCAGTTGTTCCTTGGAGTTATCCTTGAGTCTTCTGTTTTCTCTCATGCCCCACAGTTAATCTACCAGGAGGTTATATTGGCCACTTCTGCTGCCAGCCACCCTCTCATCTGAGCCACCATCTCTTGTCTTGCTTACTGTCGTCACCTCCTAATTGGTAGTTCTGCTCCATTTCTCCTCCTCCTCCTCCTCAGTGTCATCCTTTTAAAATTTGTATGTATGTCTCTATTTCATGCATAAGAAATTAGTGCAGCAGACCATTACAGTAACCAATACATAACTATATATGCATTTTATTCTATAATTTTATTGGGAATCAGGTTAAAGTTCACAGTCAATTTTCCATCAGCAGTTCATACTCATTTTGTTTCATCTCATTGATTACCATCCTTACAACGTGGCACCACTTATCCCACATCCTCTGTTTCCTTTTTCTACTCCTCTTTCCTAACCCTTCCTGCCTTCTGAACTTTGTCCCCAGGCAAACGCTGACCTTTTGATCTCAAGTGGCTGCATATTCCAAGGCTGTGTACCTTCCTAATGCTATTGTTCCCCTCTTAGACCTGATTATTGTTTGACTGACAATAAAGGACTGTAGTCTCAGAGGTTTTACAAGTCTGCCTGGCCTGTGTCCCTGGTTTTTCATATGATTTTGAGATTTGTTTCATACCCTCCTCCTGCCATTTCCAGGCCCATCTAAAGCGGTCTCTTTCAGCGGTGGTGGTGGGCACCATCCAGTTCTTCTGGTCTTAGGTTCATGGGAACCCGAGGTTGGAGTGATTCACATTAGTCCATTGAACTAGTTACTTTCATGTATCTTTGATTTTTCTTCCTCTATCTTATAGGGAGAGACCAGTAGTCACACCCTAGATGGGTGTGAGCAACATAGAGATGTTTAAAACGGTTTATCCATACTCCTTTTCCAGTCTGTTCTCAGGGTATCAACCAGAGTGGTCTCCTTGATGCATACGCTAGGTCTCAGTGTTTCTCCTCTCTGTACCTTCTCAGCAATTCCCTTCTTACTGCATGTAACAGGCAGCATTTATGGTGGCCCCTAAGGAAAGTTGATACGCCCCTACCAGCTGTCTTCCCTTGTTCTCTTTGGCATCTGTTCCAACTCCTGGGCAGGGTGATGCCTCATTACCTCTCTTCTGTGAAGAGTCCCCTCCTCTTGCCACACTGGCCTCAAACACACCAAGCGTGTTCTTGCCTTTGCACTTACTGCTCGCTCGCCTCGATGCCTCTGCCCCCAGTCGTAGCTCCCCAGCTGTGAGTCTAGTGCCGAGTTCTTGGTGGAGCCTTTGCTGACCACCAGTGGAGAAGGCTTCGCAAACTTTGTTGGGAAAAAAATCCACTATCTTTTAATTCTGTTTTCCATGAACTCAGTGACACCTCCTTGTGTTTAAAATGGCCTACCACCTTCATTCTGCAACCTTCCGCGTTCTCCTCCTGTGCTTTATTTTTCTCCACAGCCCTCGTCTTCATCTGATATGCCAGGTCTTTTCTTGCTGCTGCTTGTGGAAATTGTCAAACACACAGAAAGATTGAAAGACCAAGACAATAAGCACCCATAGACAACCACCTAGGTCCAAGAGCTGTTAACCTTTTACCCTATTTATTTTATACTCCAGCATCTACGGAGTTTTAGCTGAGCCAGTTGAAGAAAGTTGCTTACATAATGTCACTTCCCTGAGTTGTTCTCATGAATCTCCTAAAAGTAATTCCCTTCTTCCTGACGACGTCATGATCACTTGGAGAAAAGAAAAATCAGTTCCCTGATATCAGTTGGAATCTGGCCCATATCCGAAATTTCCTTAGTTAGCACCCAAACGTTTATAGCTGTACCTTTTTTGGAGTGGGGGGGGGCAGCAAAGATGGGCTCAAAGTTCATACACTATTTGTAGTTCTCTTTACTTCAGAAGAGGTCTCCCCCCCGCCTTCTTTGTGTGGGATAACTTTCAAAAGACAAAGCCAAGTTCTCTCAGTCTCCCACTTCTGGGTCTTTTGGAATGTTTCCTTGTATCCTTTCACTTGCTCCTCTGCCTCATGTTTCCTCTAAACTGGAAGTTAGATACAAAGTCTTGGCTGAATATAAGTTAAGATACTTTGGGCCAGGATCTTTCATGAATGGTGATGCTGCAAATTTCATCCTGCACCGCTCAGAAATGGGGAAGCTTCAGGCGCTTTTGTTTTTGGTGAGACCTCATTTGATGAATAGGCTGCAGGCTGGGTCTTTTGTTGTAAACGACAGTTTTCCCCTGGCAATTAGCTCGTGACCTGTGGTGATTTCTCTGGGACATTCCGTTTGTCTATTCCTTGTCTCCCCTAAGATCCAGCAGAGCTGAGATTAGCCTGTATCTCACTCGTCTCTCGGCATACGCCTCCCATTGCCCGGCATTAGGGGTTGTGTGCATTTGTTGTGTCAGTACTTTCGTAGTTTGTAAGCTTACCTGAAGCAGCAGCTGTGTCAGGCCCCTCATTACATCCTGGCCAGTGCCTACTAGCTGCCAAATGGATTCGCAACAAAGCACGAGAAACCTATTCTTCTCCAAGAAACGGAAGCTCACTGTTGGAGCGCCTGAAGCAGTAGAGCTGGATGGGAATGGTCTTTGCAAGGAAAGGCCCGGCCCCCTTTTGCCGGGGGCCCCCCCCCTCCTAGCTGCGGGAGCTGCTCCGTGCAGCCTGCTTGAGCAAGTGTTTCCTTCCTTCTCTTGCTGTCAGTGACAATGAGCAGCTCTGCTTCCGAGACCAATGGTCACCCCCACAGCGTCGCCTCACCCGCAGAACGGGCATTCTCATTGCCCAGGAAGACCCCTCTCAGCACTCCTGGCACCCCGATCCTCGAAGACTTCCCCCAGAACGATGACGAGAAGGAGCGGATGCAGCGGCGGCGCTCCAGGGTCTTTGACCTGCAGTTCAGCACAGACTCGCCTCATTTGCTAGCCTCCCCCTCCAACAGGTGAGCGGGCTTCCGGGCTGGCTCCTCTTTGGGTGGCCACTTTGACGTGGCATTGCCTCAATACCTAGGCACTCTGGAGCTTGGGAAAGTCATACTGTCCTTGCTCAAGGGTATTGTGTTTGCATTCCATGTAGGAGCATTGATGGTTCAACTACGATTCCAAAATTTACAAACACACAGATAACAGAGCATTACTCCACCTGTATCAAATTATCTGCTGAAAATGTGAGTATCTGCAGGCCTATCACCAAAGAGTTTGCAGTGCGATGATGGGTGGGTCTCGCGGTCTTGATTCTGTAGCGAATGCACGATTGACCAAAATTGTGGGAATTTACCCTCAGTGACTCTCACTGCTGATATCTTTCAGTATGCTTTTTCTGATGGCCGTTGGCGTGTCCCCTGGCAGGCTGCCTTCCACCTGCAGTCGATGATCGAGAGAGATAGTGTGGTTCAGAGTTAATAGCGTGAGTTCTGGAATTAGCGCGCCTCTCCATGAATGAGCGGTGTGGCCATAGCAGGTTACCCAGCCACTCTGCCTCCAAGTCCTCGGGTCACACGAGAATGAGACTTCTGGAGAGAATTGTTCTGAGGGCAACGGAGTTCCTTCATGGGCCATGCTTTGAACTGGGTCTGCACACTGCAGCCACGCAGAGATGGTGTGCTGTCCCTGTGTAGCCCTTGTTGAGGAGGAGGTGGGGGAGCACATGTGGGTTTGGCTGTGTTGCCAGGTGCTTCTGGGAACTCAGATCAGTAGCAAGATGGAGACTAGTCCTACCTAAAACTGTGCCTGCTGTTTTTCTTCAGGGTGCCGTTACTTACATGACCCCCAATCTTCTGTTCACAGAAAATCACCACCAAGAACGCTTTCGGGTTGCACCTGATTGATTTCATGTCAGAGATTCTCAAACAGAAGGACACCGAACTGACCAACTTTAAAGTAAGCCCTGCTGCCTGCTGCCGTGCATTCCACCATGCTGGGGTTCTGCGAGGACTTGGGAGCCTTTCTGGTTTAAGGCATTGTTAGCTACTTCACTGCATTTCCCAGCTTGATGAAACGCAGAGAAGGTGCCTGTGTGACATCTGTGTATCCCCTACCATCGATAATGGGGTCTTTGACAGCTTTTTCTCCTTAAAGGCCACTACATAAATCTTTTGTGCAGCTTGCTTTGTTTTGCTGCTCTGAAGTAGCTCTTTGTACGTCCTCAGGACTGTAGCTCTGCTTGTTTGACTAGGTAGCTGCCGGTACTTTGGATGCCAGCACCAAGATCTACGCTGTGCGTGTAGATGCTGTTCACGCCGACGTCTATAGAGTCCTTGGGGGACTGGGCAAAGATGCTCCCGAGGAAGCAGAGAGCTGTGCTGCAGGTACAGAGTGGGGTTTGGATTCCATGGGCTGCACTATGACACACTGTTGTTGTTAGGTACTGTGGAGTTGTTTCTGAATCACAGAAGAACAAAACACTGCCCTGTCCTGCACCAACATCTCAGTCGTTGCAGCCACTCCATCTTGTTGAGGGTCTTCCTCCTTTTGGCTGACCCTTCCACTTTACCAAACATGTTTTTTAATGTCGTTTTTTAGGGACTGGTCTCCTGATTACATTCCCAAAGTACGTGAGTCAGAGTTTCAGCATCCTTGTTTTTGAGGCACATTCGGGCTGTCCTTCCTCCGAGACAGATCTGTTAGTTCTCCTGGCAGCCCGCAGTATGTTCAGTGTGCTTCACCAACACCATGATTCAATGGCACTGACTTCCCTGGTCCAACTTTCACATGCATATGAAGCAGTTAAAAATGCCATGGCTTGTCAGGTTACCTGAGTCCTCAAAGTGACATCCGTGCAGCATGTCTGCTCAGTGCAATATGTCTCTGGATTTTTATCTTCAAACCGTTTTATTGGCATATACTTCACATATCATACAATTCAGTAGTTCAGTCATATTAAGAAAAGTTGTACAGTCATCAGCACAATTTTAGAATATTTTCTTCTTACTTATACTTATTAGATCCGTCTTTCTCCCCAGCCGCCCCTGCCATACCGCCAAGAAACTGTTAATCCGTTTACTATCTCTATGAATTTACCTGTCCTGGATTTCATATGCAGGGAAACATCCTAAAAAGACCCTGGAACAAGGACAGAGGAAAGCCTCAACTGAAAAGCAAGCAGAAGAATATTAAAAACTAGAACAAATTTAAAAGGACTCCAAAGGGATGTCAAATGTTAGGTGTTAAATTTTAACCGAACTGCCTGTGCAGTAATCCCCTTTTCAGTCCCTCTGCCTGATAGCAGAGCTGTCCCTCCCCTGCTGCTTTCACGAACGTAGCTGTGGACCCACTTAAAGACAACTTCATCCCGTTTTCCGTTTAGCGCGATGCTGTCTACTGGTCCAGTTGTGAGGATTTTTGTTTTCTTTACATCGAGGCTGCAGTCTTTGATCTCTATCAGTAGTGACATACCAGTGCATAGTTTACTGCAAAACAGCCCTGGTAAGCCACCACAGTGTGACAGGCAGCTCATAGAGGAGTGGTGGTTTTATGGCGTAGCAGGTAGCTGTTTGAGTGAAGGCCCAAGAAATCAGTTATCTCATGGACACACTCAGAATTGTACGTGGGGTTGGGTGAGAAGTTACTCAAAACACCAGTTCTTATCCTTGGAAACAGAGAAAGGCCTTCTGAAAGCCTTCAGATTTTGTTTCGTCAAGGCTGAGTAGGCATCACCAACTAGAGGGCTTCTGATGTTAGTCTTTGGAAACTCACTCACCTGAGAAGTCCGACTGGAGCAGAATAAAACCTGCAGAAGCTGAAGCCTGTGTAAGGTGGAAACCTGTCAGAGCATGGAAACTCAAGTCTCTCTCACTGTCAGAGAGCAGTGGGAATGTGACAAGACTGTGCCCTGTCACAGGAGGAAAACTTGCCAGACCTGGGAAAACAAGGCAGTCCCAGGGAATTCTGGCTCTTGTAGATTTCATTGTAGATTGATTTTCTCCTAAGGGGCAGATTAGATGGGCCTGTTGCTTTGAGAGAATTGTGCACATTTAAATACATGGCTACTCATTAGGGTTTTGAAGAACTTGAATTTATAATAAGTTCCATTACATGCTTCAAAGGAAGCCTCACCCTCCTCAATCTTGTTTCTTCCTTTAGACAGAAGTGCTGTTGCTGTTGACATGGGCACAGCCAAAAAGGCGCCAAAGCCAAAAAAGAAGCATTCTTACAAAACCATCGAGCAGAATATCAACAACCTCAACACCCCAGAAGCAGATCGAAAGTGTGAGGTGAGGACGTGTGTGCCTAGCGTGCTCTCAGGATATGAAGCCCGGCAGGGCTATCCCTCCTCGGAGGGCACATGCTTGTGTAAGCCTCAGCGCAGCGCAGTGATCAGTGGTGTCTGCATGCTTGTCTCTGAGCTTCGTAGTGAAGACTGGAGGTGACCAGTCCCTGTCTTGCCCTCGGTCTATCAGAATGAGTGATTGTAACTACTGAGAAGCACGGTTGATCTATTTATCTCATAGTGGACGCAGCAGCAGTGACAGCTAGCATTACTGTTCACTGACTGGCACTACTCTAAGCTGACTCATTCGATCCTCACAGTGCTTTTGTGCCAGGTAGCTGAGAGACAGGGCTGTGAAGAAAGTTGCCCGTGATGGCAAAAGGAGCTAGGATTTGAACTTGTGGTGTGGGACACTCTTATTTGTGATTACTACAGTTTATTTAAAGTAAGTATGGCTGCAGTGTTTTTTTGTTGTTTGATTTTGCTATTAGATACATTTGCTGTGACTTACATTGATTCCATGAATCTTGTATGTATTTATACTCTCCTGAGAGTATATCTATAAGAACATCTGAAACTTCCAATTTCAGTCACTCTCGAAAAATGTTGCATCAGTTTATCCCCCCACCAGTAGTGAACTAGATGATTTCTTTCTCTCGTCTCCATAGTATAAATGGTGGTTAAAATCACGAGGCTGAAGAAATGAGTATATGAGAGGGCTTTAAGAAGTTCATAGAAAAATGGAATTCAAAGATACTGGCATTTTTCCATGAACTTTTTAAGTCCCTTATGTGGAAAAGAGGAGAAGCCCAAAGACCGAACCCTAAGAAACCCTAGTCTTATGAATTCAAAGAGTTAAAGAAGAAACTTCCAATTAGGTATGAGAGTAAATCTGGAGTGTGCGGTATACAAATACACAAGTGTTTCAGGGAGAACCGTGAACCATGACGGCACAGTGTATGTGTATGGGTGGGTGGGTGTGGCCTAGGCAGAGAGAGAGAAAACAAATATTCAAGCTGTTAATACTTGGTAACTCAGGTTAAAGTTAAACAGAGGTTCACATTACTTTTCTTTCAGCCTTTTTGTAGGCTGGCTGTCTTGTAAAATAAGTGTGGGTAGAACAAAACGCACAGGAATAAAGACCCTGAGTATGAGCAGTTCTTTGGGAGAGCTTTCCCACAACTGGGCGCAGAGTGATGGGGTTGGCAAATGGAGAAGGGCCTGAGGTCAGGAGGGCTTTTGTGCTCTGTTCTTACGGGGAGAGTTCACAGCCTGCTTACTTATTGATGGTAACAGTCTCTCACGGAGGAGTGGGGGTTGGTGATGTGGAGGAGAACGGAGAGCTGCTGGGTCGCAGGTGAGAAGGGCAAGGCACAGGCAGCACAGGTGGGGTTGGGGGTGGCTGAGGGGACCATGGCTGTAGTGCATGGATCTGAGTGACTGGATGTCCTTTGTGGGTGTGTCTTGGCCCCCTCCATCTACCCCCCAGGAAAGCAGGAAGCTGGCTGTGAGCAAGGGGGAGGAAGGAAGTCAGGGTTTGAGGAGAGACAGAAGGGGTCCTTGAGGACGGTGGTCAAAGGACTGGACAAGGGAAATAAAGCTCGGCTGCTGGACAGCATGTTGAGTCCACTTGAGGGAGGGGCCGATGGACTTGGAAGGAGACCAGTCCACATGACTTTGTCGTTCTCCACCCTTGATTAGCTGTGTGTGTGCAAGCCTAAAATGGGCAGAAAGTTGGATTTGACCCAGGAATGTGTCTAGCTAATTAAGTGTGCCCCAGACAAAAAGGGCCATTGAGTTAAAACCATGTGCAAGGAAGTAGTTACAATCATTGCTCCAGGTATTTTAGGGGAGTCAGGGACAGGAAAATGAAACAATTACTAGACTGTAGTCCTGGTTGGAGACAAAGACTGGGCATCGTCGGGGCCTGGAAGTATAGAAGGTCAGTGTCAGAAAGGGACACTTGGACTTGTGTAGAGAGTGCAGTCAAGGTTGATGACACAAGGGGGTGAAATACCGAGGGGACAAAGGTGTGGGGGTCTTGCTAGGATCTCAGAGATGTGGGCCTCTTAAGACGGTGGACGGGAAGATTGACGGAGAGGGTATCAAGTGACTGGGAAGCCAGAGCATTGGGTGACTATTGAGGTCCTTGCAAGTGAATGACAGGAGTTAAGTGGGAGAACCATAATGAGCTAGGCATTAGTACTCAGTCCTCAAAGAGGGGCCTCAGACGATGTCTGCAACAGGTGGGGGAAAGGTGGGCAAGCCTGGTGCTACACTCAACACTGAGGTTTAGGAATTAGATAGAAGGCTAGCCTAGAAGCTGCATAAGGAGCTAAAAATAATGTGCCTCACTTCTAGGCCCCGTGGACTGGGCAGGACCATGGCTCCCACTGGAGAGGGCTGCAGGGGACACAGGGTCCTTAGGAGAGCACCATGCTTCGTTGAGGGCCGTGCTGCTCAAACTGATTTTCAATGCTGCTGCTCCTCCTCGGAAGTCCCTGAGGAGCTTTGGCGGGTCAGCGTTAAAGCGCCTGGCAGTTAACCCAACAGTCAGCAGTTTGAAGGCACAAGCCTCTCCACAGGAGAGTGGCTCCACAGCCAGGGTCAGATCTGCCCTGTTCTAGAGGCTTGTTGAGTTCCAATCCACCCTGTGGCAGTGACTTTCCTGAAGGAATCGCTGGCAACTAAAACCTTGGTCCCCAAACTTATTTAGCCTATCTCCACATTTTTAGAAGACCCCCAGAAAACTTCCTTCCCCCATTCCAGAACCATTAATCACTTGTACTGTAGCCCACCATCCAGGATCAAGTACAGGTCTCTGCTTTTGCAGGCCCCAGCACCCAACCAGTATTGCCCAGGATGCTGGCATCGCCCATTGTGGGAAACACTGCTGCAAACTTTTTTTCCCTTGCACTTAAATACTAAGGAATAAGCTCTTGTCGAGTAGGGGTGAAATTTGGAGGGCCAGAGTATTGTAAGATAGAAGTTTTCCCCACTGCAAGACAGTTTCTTGCTAGGAGATTTCAGGAGAGCAACGAGTGGTACAGGCAGCAGCCCTGTGAAAGGGTGTTCGACCCCCAAAGGGGTCATGACCATAGGTTGAGAACCGCTGCCCTAGAGGTATCATAGCCATAGGAGTAGTGACACTCAGAGGCACCAGGACTCTAGGAAAGTGAGGGGTCTTGCTAGATCCACTCAGTGGTGGTGCAGCCAGGATAGGCAAGTCAGCCTACATATTTGTTGTCCTGACACCAATGGTGGGGTACTAGGGACCTTCCAGCACACATTTACCTACCTGTTCTGCACCGGGCATTTGAAAGGCTGTGGAAACAGACCAGCCGAAGCACACTCGTCCAGATACATTGTAAACATACAGGTTGCCACAGTGTCTTCATTATCTAGTGCTGCTAGAACAGAAAGGATTTTAACAAACACATTTCGTTTCTTACCCCGTTGGGTTGTGAACTGCAAAGTCAGTAGTTCAAAACCATCAGCTACTCCATGGGAGAGCGATGAGGCTATCTATTCCTGTAAAGATGTACTGTTTTGGAAATTTCACAGGGACGGGTCTACTCCATCCCGAGTCCTGTAGGGTTGCTGTGAGTTGGATTGACTTGATGGCAGTGATTCCAGGGACAGGCTCTAGGGGCAGGCTTTCTCTCTCCGCTGACTCGGGGAAGGGCTTTCTTTGCCCCTTCTTACCTTCTGCTTTTTGGTTTCCTGATCTTCGTGTGTCGTGGCATGTCCTCCTCCAGCTCTGCTCTTTTACACGTCAACAGAGGTCGACTTAGGACACTACAGCAGCACTGTGTCACTAGCATGGTAGAAACCCATCCCCAGATGGGCTTGTAACTCCTGTCCGGCAGGCTTCACAACACACACTTTTTTCTTTAGGATGTTCTGGTTTTCCTTTTTTTAATCATGTTATCGGGGGCTCGTATAACTTATCACAATCCATGCGTCCATCCATTGCAACACATACTCTTGGAGGGGCACGGTTCCTACCACGCAGTCTATGCTTGTTACCATTTACTGTCTGAGCATCATGTCTTTATCAATCGGAACACACACAACCTGTCTTTTAAAGTGGTGCCCGTTGGTTTGGGATTTTACCTGATCAGTTGAGGTTCCTTCGCCCTTTCTTGACCACGTGCAAGGACATTTCAGTCCAGTGTGTGCGGTTCTGACACAACAGAGCCCAAGTGAATGAGGTCTCGGCTTCCCTTTTGTAGCATGCTGCCGTTCTTTGACTCTCCCCCTCCCGCTCCCTGCTCCGTGCTTGTCTTCAGGTGGACCCCATGTTTCAGAAGACCGCCGCCTCCTTTGATGAGTGCAGCACAGCAGGAGTGTTCCTCTCCACGCTGCACTGCCACGACTACAGGAGCGAGCTGCTTTTCCCGTCCGACGTGTACACACTCGCCACCGGCCAACCTCTCCAGATGCCCGATTTGGGTTTGGTGGAAATGACAGATTTAAAAGGTCAGTCCAGACCCTGCCTTTCCCTGCAGTTCTCTTCGGCAGCCTGGAGTCTAAGTCTGCAGTCTAATTCTCATCATTGCTCTTGGTCCCTGTGTACCTCGCCATGCAAATGTACGCTGTGAGAGTTCTAGGCTTCCCGAACTCTCACACTGGAACACGGTGCCTGTGTGTCAGGGTTTAGATGTGTCTAGCCAGAGAGGCCCTGTGCTTAGTTATTACCCAGGGAGGTTGGCCACAGGGCTAGGGGGTGGGCTCACTGAGAGGATGGCATATGAGCTGTTTCCAGAGTCCTCTGGCCATCTGGGAACTGACGTGTCCTACTGTTGGCCCCTTGAAACCGGCTTACCAAGGATTTTAGCACCCTTTCCTTTTCTGCTTGGCGAGCGCTTTTCTCCTCCTCAGGGCATTTTGAGAAGCAGCAACACAAGTGAGTGTAAGCATTTTCATGTGTTGCATGATCCTTTTAGTACCACTCCCATCCTTCCTCAGCTGGTGGGATCTTTGCTGAGAACAACTGGCTGTGCTAACAGTCTATTTTCCAAGTTTATTTGCTCTAAACTAGGGCTCCAGTCCCTGGAGGAATAGAGAATCCCCACACACCCCTAAACTCTGAGCCTCGTGACACCGTCGGCTCTGAGAGCCCTAGGACAGCCCTCACTATATAGTGCATTATCCTAGCTTATTAATTACACCAAAGAAGACCAAGCTCCCAGGAGTCTTAATTGCCCAACTCCAGTCCTGATGCAGCGCTGTCCACCCCCTGGCCCCCGTCTCCTGCTCCTCCCCAACAAATGGTGTTTCCCTTAGGATCCGCTGGACTCGGTCAGCCAGCAGCAGCCCTTCCTACACTCCCCCTTCTCTCCGCAGAGGGCTAGGCCTATGGCAAGTTGAGTTTGGGACTAAACATAGGCGTTACGGGAATGGTTTGGGGCTTTGTATATTTTAAGAAGTGTTTACTTTCCCGGCTATATCAAAGGGCACTCAGTTTATTTCAAGGCAGTGTTGGGTTTCTGCTCTAGCATCAACACTATTTCTTGGAATGGTGACGTGTACTTAAACTCCAGCCTGCGGGCATGGCTGGGCATCTGCACATCCTTGGGAGAGTAACTAGAGACATGGAGGTTGGTCTGCAGCTCTCTGCTCGGCATGGTAGGTGCTCAGGCCTGTGTGCCAGAGAATACGGTGACCGTGTGCCCCCCTCTGTTAAGCTGCTCAGAGAACGAGGAACATGCTTGAGCCACCTCTGATCCCCTCTGGTCTTTGTCTTCTCCAGCCTCCTTGGAGCAGTGTGTGGAAGATCGCCAGATCTGCCCTTCCTTGGATGGCTTCCAGTTTACGAAATGGGACAGGGAGACGCATAATGAGGTGTGGTCAGCTTTGGGACTTAGGAAGGCACTGGGCATTTCGCCAAGGGCTCTTGGTTTCGGCTAGATGGCCCGAGATTAGTTCTGCTCAATGGGAACCCAAACTCTGTGGCATCATTTTTATTTAGCCAGGAGTACAGAAAATATTTCCCTTGGCACTTCTGGAGGCACAAAAGCCTGGTGGTGTAGGGCTGGGGTTGTGAACCCCAGCAGGACTTGTATAAACCAGATGAATCCTGGGATCAATTTCATGTCCCCTCGTCTCTGCCTCCTTGGGGTAAGGCACTGCTGTTCATGGGTGAACTCCCTCCCACTCTCCCACCCCCAGCTCTGCTCTGGAAACTGGTTATCCCGATGGCCTCAGGCCGGAGGACTTTCCTGCTCTTGGGGGTTACGTCCCTCGGCACAGCATTTCCTGAGAAAGTGTCACGTGTTGAGCTTTCTTTCCTCAGTGTATTTTTAGCCTGGCCCCCTTTGGCCTCCTTACTGCCACATCAAAAATAAGTGGTCCCCATGGACCATTGTTTTCTCTAAAAATGGAGTTAATGGCTTTAGATTCTGTTCCGTGCTTGACAGAATGTACCTGCTAACAATACAGCTTCATCCTGTGCTGCACAATATAAACTTCCTCAGTGTGCGCCTGGGAGAACACTGGTCTGGGAAGAGGGATGGCCCGGGGGCGTGGGGTGGGGCGGGTGAAAGGCTGTCTCCTGAACTCTGGGGTGCCTGTGGAAGTGAGGATTCCTGAGAACCCCCTCTCTGTCCCCTTCAGTCTGTGTCAGCCCTGGTAGACAAGTTTAAGAAGAATGACCAGGTATTTGACATCAATGCAGAGGTGGAGGACAGTGACAGTGGGGACTTCCCTGATGGCCCCCTGGAGGATGACTTCGATGCCAACGATGAACCCGACCAAACCACAGTTGGGAACCAGGAAGAGTTCCGGAGCTGGAAGGACCCCTGCCAGATTCAAAGCTGCCAGTAAGGCTCTTGGGGGCCAGGGCAATGGTTTCATAGGAGTTTGTCCTCAGTTCTTACCAGATTTCCTGCTGGGCCAACTAACTTCATCTCCATTTGATTGGCTGGTGGGCTGTGCTGTCCGTACCAGCTGAGCTTCTCCGACTCATGGTGGAATCACACCTGGCTTTGGCTGTTGGCTCAGCCAACATGAATCATAAGACTGGCATTGCAGGAATTTGTAAGCCTTCAAATAAACCATGTGAAGTGCTGGGGAAGCGTACCTGGGACACAGTAGTTACTTGAAGTGGTGTGCCCGAACGGGACCACCGACCAACCTACACAAACGTGTGTATGGTACGCACATTTACATGCGTGCACACATGCAGGGGTAGCTGCTTGTAGCGCAGAACACTGTCCCTCTGTGCACTGCACCTGCTCTGATGTGTGGCTGTACCACATCGTACCACATTTGGACAGGTAGGGGCCTGTGCTGCTTGCAGGAACAAAAAGCTTCTGCCTGATGGGTCCACCAGAGGTGGGAGAGGCAGTATTGAGTTATGGGACTAGCAAAGCAGAGAAACCTAAATTCATAAAATACAGCCTATCAGGGGCCCTGGTGGCGTAGTGGATTATGTGTGGGGCTGCCACCCACAAAGTCAACTGCTTAAACTCACCAGCCACTCCTTGGTTGAAAGATGTGGCCGCTGGCTGCTCCTCTAAAGAGGGACAGCCTTGGAACCTGACGTCGGGTTGCTATGAGTTCGCATGGACTGAATGACAGTGCATTGGGTGGATTGGGTTTGAACTTTGGGTGTGAGCTTGACGGATTTGGTCGTCCCTTGTGTCGGGGTCCCACAAAGCCTAGGATGGCCCCAGTGATGCCGTGAGGCCTGGAACGAGCACCTGGACTTCTGACAGCAGCTTTGCAAGTCTGGGACTAGGGGCAGCCAAACTAGTTTAATTTGGGTAAAACTTTAAAAGGAGTTCAGAGTGAAAAATCCCACTAAGAGTACTGCTTGAAGGTCGCCAGGATAGAAGAGCTCAGCTCCCATGTGGGAAATGATTCCATTGATAGAGCATCTTTGGCTCAGGGCGGAAATCTGCAGGTCGCACACTGGGTACTTCAAGGCCGAGTGGTCCATCCAGGGCCCAGAGCATCTCCTCTCCTGATGGGTGCTATTAGGTTAGGCATAGCTGTGTTCCCATCCCATCTTCTAGGAGCCAAACCAAGCTCCCTGCGGTCAAGTCCATGCTGACTCATAGCGACCCTATAGGATAGGGTTGAACTGTCCCTGTGAGTTTCTGAGACTAACGCTGTGCAGGAGTAGAAACCCTATCCTGTGGAGCAGCTGGTGGTTTTGAACCGCTGACCTTGTGGTTGGCAGTGCGACGTGTAACCCACTCTGCCACCATCTAGGGTGTGAGAAATCATAGGCTGGTGGGATGAGTCCCTTTTCAAATGTCAGCAAAAAGATGTCATTCCTCCTAAACAGTGGGGGGTGGGGGTGGTCTGAGGAACTGATGATAGTGGTGGGCTTCAGTCTTGTCCATTTCATCCTGGGAAGATTCTTCTCTGTTGGCTACTTTGAATGCACTCCTCTCTCCAGCCCCAAAGTGAACAAGATCCTCCTACGTCTAACCAGGGTTAGGAGGTTTCGGTTCTAGTCTAGTTCTGTCCATTCTTCAGTTTCTTACCCTTGGCCTGCCACTGGTACCAGGAGCGCAGTGAGTGAGTGAGACCTGCTGCTGGTGGCTGTGAGAGATGAGGGGCCAGGTTCAGTCCCCCCCCCTCCCGGGGGCTTGGTTTTCTCATTTAGAACACGGGGGATGGGAGCTAGAGGACAGTGATAGTTCCTGGTAGTTGGGCTCCTTGCTCTTCTGACTTTGCGCCAGGCACCATGTTAAGTTCTTTATGTAGTTTATATAATCTATAAAGTGCAACCACTTAATCCTTGCAGCAGCCCCGTAATTAGATATGTTACTTCCATTTTTCAGATGAGGAAACGGGCCCAGAGAGGTTAGGTCATGCAGGGCAACTGGGTGTCACTCAGTAGCGTGAGCTCTGCCCTGGCCAACCTGTGAGAATCTCAGGGTGAGGCATGGCACTGATTACTTATTTCGAAATTTCCTTGGGTGACTGCACCGTGCACCCAGAGTGGAGAAGCACCGTACTAAACTGAGGTCTTTGAGGGCCTCTCTATTGGGTTGCCTTGGTGCAGTTCAGCAGTTCAAACCCAGTTACTCTGAGGCAGAAAGATGAGGCTGTCTGCTCCTATATCAGGTCACTGTGAGCCAGAATTGATGGCAGTGGGTTTGGTGTTTTGAGTCTTCTCGCTCAAGGTGGGGAAGGGAAAACACTGATCCCTAAATACAGTATAGGCGTTCTGCAGGATGCTCCCTGGAGGGCTCGGGCACACCTCTTTTGGGTGCTCATGTGGTCACAGGCTGGAGCACAGCCCACGCCAGGCAGCACTACCAGGTAAAGTGCTAAGTGGTAAAGGAATGAAGAGTCCCCCCTGAGGGATTAGAGAAACCTGAGGGAGGGGCTGGCCTCAAACCCAGGCTACCCTGGGCTTCGGTTAGCTGTTGAGTGTTGGTCCCAGACTAGTAAGCTGTCGGCTGCTCTGCCCGGTGTGCTGCGGGATGTTTGGAATGGCTTCCATCCAAGCCTCCAGAGCCTGGTCCACAGACGGTTGGAAATAGATCCCTGCAAGTTCTCAGTGCAGCCCAGCTTGACTGCCCAGACTACCAGCAGCTCCCTGAGGATTCAGTGTGGGTGTGATTGACATCACCTTCTCTTGCCCTCTGAGGTTCAGCATGCAGTGATACCTCACTTGAGGAACAGCTCTAAGCTCAAACTGTCCACGAGGTCAACAGAAAAGTTTCGGGGGAAGAAAAAAAGCTCAATGTTTGTAACTTTGCTCATCGTCAAACTGAAAACCCAACCTGAAAAAACCTGTACAGTCTGAGCGTGAGTCACGTGTCCCATCTCCTCTGGGACTCGGGTGACGCTACAGTACAGTCTTAAGCGCTGCTTCTGCTCAGACAACAAACGGTGCTGCATTAGGGAGTTAAAACACTCGAAATTGTGCTTTTTACTGTGCTTTATTTTTATACAGTATGGTAACCACGGCTCCAAAGAGAGTTAGCGATACCAGCCCCTGAGTACAACATAGCTAAGTCAACATTACTAACATTTTTTGGGGGGAGGGGGTGGGTGGGAATGTCATTAAAGCGACTCCAGTGAAATGTGTGAAATCATTAACCACGCAACAAAGAACTCAGACCATTGAAGATGCTGAAAGTCACTGCTAATTTGGATGAATCAGAAGCAAGTTGATGGTGACGGCGCCTCCATGCGAAAGGCTGACGGCCTCCAGAGTGCCTGACGAGTGTACTTTTAGGGCTTCAGAACCAACTGTTTGATTTTCTGTTATTTCTTATGAGAAAAATATGTTCCGTTCAACAACTGAGGTGTCGTCATATTTGTTACACCAGCCTCTGTTGCAAACCTACGTCTTGCAAACCAGAAATGTGATTTTTTTTCAAATGTGTTTTTATTTTTAAAATTAAAACAGTAAATGTACAAATACTATCATTTTTTAAGATAAAATGATAGATAAAATCAATGTCCCCTTTTAAAACTTTATTGATTAATTGCATAGGGTTTGATGTCAAAGGGGTTAATATCTGTGGCTCATTGCCAGTGCCGAGCCATGCCCGGCTGGGAGTGTCCTAGTTCCCTCCGGCTTTAGAGGGCAGCGCAGCAGCACCGACCGACGGCAGAGGCCTTTAGAATAATGCTGTCTCGACTATGCTTGTGGCTTGAAATTAAAACATATAGAACCTATACGCATCTGTAAAATATGAAACATTGTGTGTGTGTGTGTGTAAAACTGGGTCAGTTATGTGCTTCACAGAACAAAGCCGACTCACCTCAAACCATTTATGAGTGGTGGTGATTTGAGAGGCTAAAGCTATAAATTAGCTTACAATAGTGTCGTGTTCACTTTTAGTAGGCACTATAACGGCGGCTGCATCCCAGACCCACAGCCATTGAAGTGATTCCGACCACTATCTGCCCTGCAGAGGATTTGGAGGCTGTCCACCCTGATGGTAGCAGACAGCCGTATCTGTCTCCCAAGGAGCTGCTGCTGCTATTGAACCACAAACTGCACTTAACCTGATGGCACCACCTGGGCCCCTTAACAGTGTTTATCAGAGCCCCCCTTTATGGACGGAGGGCGAAGAGAGAATGGGGTTAGCATCGGACGTGGCGGGCAGGAGACCCTGAGGCCGAGAGCCAAAGGACTGTCCAGCTGCTGGTGCTGCTGACAGCAGCTCCGTCCTCTACTTTCCACATAACACCTGCGTTTTTTCATCTCAACCAGGAAGGCTTCCCTTTGATGAAGCACTTGGAAACAGCCAAAGTGCTTGTGTAGACACGACCACCTTGCCCTAACACTAAGCGAAGGGGGCACTTTGAGAATGGAAAATAAGGGGCTGTTGTGAAGCACTGAGGCTGGCTTACCGTCAGATGGGCTGCTTATCTGTGGGAAAGGGGCTAGTCATCTTCAACTGTATCGTAAGCTTCCTGGATGTACATACGTTTGATCTCTTGTGTGTTCCAGAGAAGATGTCATTCCCCTCGGGGATGGAGACATTAGGACCATGTGCCCCCTTCTCTCTATGAAGCCTGGAGAATATTCCTATTTCAGTCCGCGTACCATGTCGCTGTGGGCTGGCCCGGATCACTGGCATTTTAGACCTCGATACAAACGTATGTACTTCCCCGTGGGACTTGGAGAAGAGATAGTGTAGGTGCCAGCAGTGCAGCCCAGGAGGGGAACTGTCACCTTTTAACCCCATCTGCTAAGCTGGAGGAGCGCACAGATGAGGTTGGGTGGTCAGTGGGTCTGGCCTGGGATGGAGGTTGGGTTAAGATTTTGTGTCTTGTGAGTGGGAAGTGTGAACATCCAGAGCCAGGAGAGGTGGGTTGATGTCCTTACACTACCCCCCTAGTATCCACATGGTCTCAACCAGGTATAGGTGGCATTGACCACCAGGTTGGGGGGAGGGGGGTGCATGTCAATTACTGCCCAAGGTCCCAGTAGGCAGGTCTCTGATAGGCTAGGTCCATGTTACATGTTTTGCCTTTTGTCTCTGAAAGAAAGGGACTAGTTAGCATATATTTTCATTGGGTTTCCTAGGACACACAGTTGCCCTTTCTGAAGCCGTGTGCACCAGTCGGCTTTGTTTGGCAGTAAATGATCCACAGAGAGGAGCTGTGTGCCGTCTCTGTTCTTTCTGCAGAGCATGCCCCCTCCCAGGCAGAGAACAGGAAGAAGAGTACAAAGAAAGACTTTGAAATTGACTTTGAAGAGGATATTGTCTTGGATGGGTACTTCCAGAAAACAAAGGTCCGTGCTGCGGCTGTTGGCGTTCATGCTTGCTCCCATTGTTGCTCATCGTACTCCTGATTTGTTTCTTCTCAGTTTTACAACCAACTTCTCTCTCAGAGAAAACGCATGCTTTCGCTGTCCCTTGGTCCTGGGGGGGATTGAGGAAGAGCCCCACACTCGGTTGCAGGAAGAATCTGGTTTATCAGAAGGGGAATAAGGCCTAACAAAATGCACTGTTTTATGCAGAACCCGGCTAACCCAGATGCCACACTTGGCTGGCTTCTTTCAAGTCAGCTCCCGAGTGTGGCAGCCCCACGTGTGTCAGAGTAGACGTGTGCGCCATAGGTTTCCAGTGGCTGGTTTCTGCCGCAGATCGCCAGACCTTGCTTCTGAGGTGCCTCTGGGTAGACCGGAGCTTCCAGTCTTGCAGTTAGCAGCCGAGTGTGTCGACCACTTGTAACCCTCGGTAGTGCTGGCCAGCTCTTCCCAATGTTCTCTAGCATGGATGGATGGATGGATAGAGAGATAATTTTGGCCATTCTTCTTAAAGATGCCTCAAGATTCCTTTTCCTTTGATCAATAGGCTGCTACTACTCTGGCCAAGTCCACTTTGGAAGGCCAGAATTGGAGAGCCACTACTCTGCCGGCAGATTTCCACTATGAGGTCAAGAATCTCGTCCAGCTCTACCTCAAACCAGGCGTCCAGGTAAGGCTCCTCTTTGGTTCCATGAAGGCATAGCATGCGGAGGACCAGCAAGTGTATTCCGGCTCCTAGCAACCCTGGAAAATAACAGACCGTCATCCTAATGGGAATGGGGTGGGTTCAAACTTGCCACCTTTTTGTTAGCAGTCAAGTACTTGCCATTGCACCCCCAGGACTCATGTTTATAGCAAAGGGGGGCCAGCCAGGGTCTTTGAGGGCAAGGAGCGTATGGGGTAGCCAAGGGACTCCCTCAGGCAAAGCCAAAGGGAGACGTCTCAGGCTAGAGGACCATCAGAGATTGGGAAACATCTCACTGCCATCGAGCCAATGCTGAGTCATAGCTGTGGGTTGCCAAGACTGTAACTGTTTACGGGAATGGAAAGCCCAGTCTTTCTCCTGCAGAGCTGCTGGTGGTTTCAAACTGCTGACCATGCAGACCACAGCCCAACTCGTAACCATTATACCACCAGGCTCCTTGCTGGACCCTGATGCCCACATGCTGAAATGTACTGCTCACTGTCAGAGTTCATCCTGACTCACTGTGACCCTGTAGGACAGGTGAGAACTGTCCTTGTGGGTGTTTGAGGCTGTACCTCTTTTACAGGAATAGAAAGTTTTATCTCTCTCCCCTGAAAAGGTTGGTTTTGAACTGCTGACGGTGTGGTTTAGCAACCCAACAGACTTTTAAAAAAATTACCCCTGGATTTTCTCATCTTAGGAAAGTTGTGACTCATTAGTGTGATGTTTTATGTGTAACCTACTTCTCACTCATCATGGTGCAGAAGCCAACGCCCGGAAACCAGGAAGGTGATGCTAGTGTGCAGCTCACGTGAGACCGACAGATCCTCAGGAGGGCCGGTCTCCCTCTAGGGCTGTGTAGATGAAGCACTGCGAGCACATGGCGTTGCACTGTCATTACTGTGGGTAGCGAGTGCTGGGTTGACTGTTGTATTTGGACCTCCTGTTCATTTGAGTCCTAGTCTTGTGGTGTTAAGCATACAGACACTCCAGTTTCCTTTTCCTTATTGCACCTGTTCCTTCGCAAGGTCTTAGGGATATATATTCATTCCCCTGAATTCAATTCTTAGCCCCATTTTTTTCCCCTGAATCATATTGTTGACTTAACAGAAGTACTCTTAAAAAACGCAGAGCAGAGATGCAGAGTGGCAGCAGTTGTAGAAACGGTGGCCGTGGTCAGTGTTGCTTAGATCCCGGCAGCAACTGTCTCATTACAGTACAGACTGTGCTCCGAGGCACCGCAGCAGTTAGGCTGAAGGAACTTGATAGTACATCTGAATAGGCTCTTGGGCTTGGAGATGTGCCTGGCTCGGGAATGAAGCCACGTGACATAGCCTGGGGCTCTGTCTGTGGCACAAGCCCCCGTCCTCTCCCTCCAGCCTCTGCCGTGGCCTGATGGACTGTGTTGCTATGTGGCCCCGCCCCATGCTGGCTGGTTGCAGATCGCCGTGAGCCAGAGGGCTTCACCAGTGGACGCGGGGCATCGGGTTGCCCAGCCTTTCTCCGATGCTGTTGATCCAGAAGTGCTGGCCAACGGCTGTTCAGCATCGTGGCAGCACATGCTGGCACCTGCTGACAGATGAGTGGTGGCCGGCATGAGGGTCACTGCCTGGGAATGGAAACTGCCTGGAATTCTACCACAGAACCTTCCGTGTCTTGTCAGCCCTTATTCGCAGGCCACTCAGCGGGCCTGGGTGGCCCTGTCCACCCTCAGGTGTGAAGGGAAGGGTAGAAGAGTCATTGGAGCATTTGACTGCAGGAGCGGGTTTGTTGTTTTGTTTTCCAAAGGCTGGAACTTGTGCTCCTGAGGAGCCCCACGAGCACATTCCCCGTGTGCAGTGAGGCGGCAGAAGCCAGCGGTCCCACCTTCAGCCCTCGGTGCGCCGCCAGGAAGCGCCTGCTAAACCCTGGCACCTTGGCTCCAGGCCACGGGCAGACTCACCGCTCAATTTGTGTTCCAGGGCTGTTTCAGTTGGGCCTGTGCCCCTCCAAGGCAAACCTGGTGGAGTGTAGGCCCAGTCGAGTGCCCAGAGGAGAGTGTTGTCAAGGGAGAGGGCTTTAGCAGTGGTATCCTTGAAGACAGTGGAAGAAAGTGCAGTTCTTCAATAAATACCGTTACCTGGTACTTTGGATCTGTAGTATCAAAGCCTCATGGTTTCTTGGGGAAGAGGGGTTTTTTCAAAGGGTACAGCGATGCTTACACGTTAACACATTACAATACACTTTTGTGTATTGTAATATGCTTCCCCTGCCCCAGAGTCACATAGCCTCATTGTAGTAAGAACTGGTAGTTGAAAAGTTTCTAAAGGACCCCTAGTGGCGCTGTTGGGTAAGTGTTGGACTCTTAACTACAAGGCCAGTGGTTCAAACCCACCAGCCACTGCTTGGGAGGAAGATGCGGCCATCTGCTCCCATAAAGATGTACAGCTTCAGAAACTCTATCTAAAAAAAAAAGGATAAACTATATAGGTTGCTGTGAATCAGAATCTACTCCACGGCAGTGGGCTTTTCGAGATGTGCGGCCAATAGCTATTTCCAAGAGAGGAACCAGACTTGTCCTGTGAGACCCGTGGATGTAATGACAAGAGAAGAGCTAAGTGTGTTCCTGTTGGCCATGTAGGGGACTGTGCTTGCCACCTAGGAGTGGGACAGGCTGCCTGAAAATGAAGGGAGTGAGTTTTCTGTCAAAAATGTTCAAGCTGACTTTCAGACAGCTGTAGACAGAGATTTCCAGCTTTGGGTTTGTCTTTAATCAACTCCATAGCCACAGAGTTGATTCTGAATCATAGCAGCCCTGTAGGACAGAGTAGAAACCCCAGAGTTTCCAAGGAGATGGGACTTTATGGACACAAACTACCACATCTTTCTCCCAGGGAATGCCTGGTGGGTTCGAACCACCGACCATCCAGTTAGCAGTCAGGGCTCCTTGTTTGTCATAAAGGAACCATTTTCCAGATACAGTTGTGTGCAGAAGAGCTCCCTGCAGCCCCAGTGGAGAAAGGGCAGCTGTGCTCTCGCCTGCGGGAGCTCCTGAGCCCGCTACCAGAGGGTGCTGTGCAGTTGCAAAGGTCATTGAACTAGGTGACTTGTGAGGACCCTTTGAATTAGAAATGATCCTAAAAGGGGATTTGATGACGCTATTGGGTAAGCATTGCACTGCTGACCACGAGGTTGTTGATTGACTTTCACCCAATGCTTCCTGGGAGAAAGAGAAGGCTTTCTGCTCCCCTGAAACGTTGAGCCACAGAAATCTGGTAGAGGGTGTCACTGTGGGTCAGTCAACTCAGTGGTAGTAGGTTGGGGGTTCACAAGGAGACTGATCAGAGAAACTAAGATCTACTTATGCACCCAAGTCCATTAGCTTGGTTTCTAGAAATTGCCTCTGAACTTATTCTTTCTTTCATTTTAGTTACATCCTGGGGCCCAGGACCAGAAGGCAGGAACTGAGCAATATGAAGAGATTGAAGACTATGATTACAACAACCCTAATGACACCTCCAACTTCTGCCCTGGGTTGCAGGTAAAAGAGAAGGTCTCTGTCCTCTTGTTAACGGAAAAGAGTCTGACTTTCCTGCTTTCCGTCTCCCCCTTCCCTCTGTGGCTGATGGACGAGGCCAGTCCGAGTCAGGTGAGAGAGTGATGGGTGCAGGGGAGAGAGCAGAGTGCAGGTAAAGGCCGTCTCACATGCAAGAAGCAGTCAGCCTAGGGATGGATCCTGTAGCCTCTGGAAAGCACTTCCTCTGCCACTTTGAGATTTCAGAGAAATGCAGAGCACTTAAAGGCACAGCAGTCAGACACCAGGAAACCATTCGTTCAGAGGACTAATGGACCACGTGAAACACAACCACTACCAGAGACCGGAAGGCAGAAGCAGGTGGGGGTGGTTCCCCAATTTGAAAGGGAGGGCTCACAATAGGACGTCGTAGTCAAGTGGGAGGAAAACGTGGAACAAAACTCATGATCATAGCGGAGGCCTGGGTGCTGGTTTGATTGAGGCTGTGTCCCCTAAACACCCTCAGGCCTGGAACTGAACTCCCTCCGTGGCTCAACGATAGGCCTGTATGGTGAACAGCAATACCTGGGAGGTATGCAGTGCTTTGAACACCACATAGCAGACGGAAAGGGCAGCACTGGCCTGGGGATAAATGGTAGAAGTCTGAGTGAACACAGGGAAGACAGACGCTGGAAGAGTCTGGTTACGCGGTGCAGATGGCAGTCAGTGCCCCCAAATAAAACACGGATGACTTGTTTAATGGAAAACCAATGTGCTCTGTAAGCTTGCACCCACTCACAGTAAAAAGCTAAAAACAAGGAATATAAAACACGTGCGGGTTTTGGCAGAGCACACAGCAGACATCTCACGCTGGTGTGTTGTAACGGAGGACGTTAACCAGTGACATTCTGAATGGAATGGACCTTTGAGAGACCAGCCTTCCAGGTCTGATTTTGCTTCTCGTGATGAATTTGTACCAAACACTCCTTACCCCCATAAGGGGCTTAGATTCAATCATGAACCTAGTACTAAGATCGCCAATGCAGGTAACAGAAAGGAGGGGAATGTTAGGCCTCGTCTGCGTCCCGTAGGTTGGGGAGAGGGGAAGTCCTGGGAGAGCAATGCCTTCACTTTGCTTTCTGATTGGAGGAGGCGTAGGCTGTTAGGGTTAGTGACAATCCAGAGTGCTCTCTTCAACTTTAGCCTGCTCCTGAGAAGCCAATGAAAAATAAGTAGCAAATAATAATTAAGACAATTCATTTTCTGTTGACGAGCTCATGGTTATTAAGTTTACTATTTAAAATTAGAATCCCCTGCAGAGCCTATTGAAAATCAAATTCCTGGGCCCACCTCCAGAGGTCCTGACTTCCCCTAAGGGGTGTGGCTTTCTCCAAGGCCCGCAGGTGATGCGCAGGCCTCTGGTCTGTGGGCCACTCTGGGGGGCGCTGAGTGAGGGGTGTTGCTGAAGCAGTGGCTCATCTCTCTGGGGTAGCAGGAATGCTTTTGGCCAACTGGAATCCTAAATTGGACAAAAGTTTGGCAGGTATGATTATTAAATTCTTTGCAACCCTATCTCTAGAGACTTGAAGGTGGATAGCAGCTCCCGGCCTAGTTGGGTTTATTTAGGAAAACAAGCAGCGACTAGAAGTCCATCCCAAGCTTGATTCGCCTGATGAATGGTCGGGTGCTCTCTCCTTAGTGATGTAGAACACATTTCTAAGCCCTTTTGGACAGCTGCTAAGCTTTTAAACGCTCTTTCCTTGCCCAGGCTGCTGACAGTGATTATGAAGAGCCAGATAACTTATTTGTCGGACCAGCTGGGGCCTTTGACCTTACAGCTTACCCTTGCCAAACACCTAAGACCATGGCAGAGAACAATGATGCTCCCGAAACCCAAGACGTAGACATCACGACCTATGGGGAGTCCAATCTGGTAGCGGAGCCTCAGAAGGTAAGGACAGAGAGCCGAGAAGGACAGCCTTTGCCTCAAACCAGTCTCCACTCGTTGTGTTTTCCTTAAGTGGCTCTCCAAACAGCTGGTCTTCAACAGGCTTTAGGGAGCAAGCTGATGCTAATTAGATTTTGGAGCGCTAGCCACTGCTGCAAAGACCTTAAGCCGTATGATGGGGCTGAATCCACTATGTAAATCAAGGCTGCAGGCAGAGAAAATAAGTTTACACTAATTGGGTAAGGCTAGCTCTTTGACTCTGGAGAATCTTGGCCAGATTGGATATGTATGAAATTAACATGCATTAAACATGTTTTTCACACTCAGTGAAAGGCTTGGTACTTTCCTATGTGAGTATGTCTAAGTCCAAAAGTGTTGCTACGAAGTCACAGAGCTGTTTACACACGCTATCAAAACACGAAGTTTTTATTTCTAGCAGATCGTCCATCTGGGTAGGTGGTGTTTGTCTTTCTAACACCCAAAGGGTTCGGCTGATACCACGTCAAATGGATCATGTTGACACCCTTGAGGGACTTGGGCTGTGTTCCTTCCAAGGTTCCCCAGCTCAGACGTTTGGGAACAGCAAGGAGTCTGAAGCAGCAAGATGGGGCTAGAGGTTTTCCAGCAGAGTTCTTACAGGGCAGCCTGATGCTCTCAAAGAATGAACAGGCGCATTGTCGTGATGGGAGAAATTCCTTGGTGGAACTTCCTGACCTTTCTTCACCGGCGCGGTTTTGATTGTCTTCATTCTTAGTCATCCCGGCCCCGTGATCATTTCTGTGTCCCCTGACAACAGCCGTTAAGTTAGCCCTTTGGCATCAGAAACAAAGCCAGTCATCGTCCCCTTCTGAGTGGACTCTCTGCCTTGAATGGAGCTGGCCCAGCAGAGCCCCTGGGAAGCCACCGTTTTGATGGGCTCTCTCTCTTCTTAAGGCACCTGAGAAGACTTGAAACAAGTGTACATGTGTTACTGAGACAGCTTGTCCACAGCCATCCGTTGAGCATTTTGCTAGAAATAAACCCAGGCATGTGTCCAGCTGGAACCCCAGTCTCAAGTCTTTTGACTTACCTTGTATCTGACTGGAATTCCATGTTTGCCTTAATGGATGGAGAGTGTACTTGATCAAAAAGAAATTCGATTTGAGATGAGGGATTCTAATCGCACGTGTAAAAAGATAGCTCTTTAACTCCTTGCTGTAAATTGGATTTTTTTAACTCCAGGCTTCTGTTGTTTATAGTCCATTGCAGTGGTGGAGTCCAATGTATGTATGTGCTACTCTTGTGCTTCCTTTTTCTTTACACTCATCTCAGGTAAATAAGATTGAAATTCAGTATGCCAAGACCGCCAAAAAGATGGACATGAAAAAGTTGAAGCAGAGCATGTGGGGTTTACTGACGAAGTTCTCCAAGCAGCAAGCCGATGCCGAGGTACGTGGCTTCTAGATGTCGCCCCTCCCCTGTGGTGTGGGCAGTTGAGTGGCTGGTGTGACAGAGCCTGAGAGGGCTTTGATTATTCGGTAGCCCTAATACCGAAAGCATTCGTTCCTCTGAAAGGTCAGTGGACCTGGCATGTGAACGGATGGAAGACAAGAAAACGGACAGTTGTTCAGACTCGCTGATAATGAAAGACAAATGAAGACACGTTTATTATGTCGCTTAAAAATAACAGCAGTTTTAGCAATTAAACTTTTTCGGTGCTAAGGTTTTGGG